GTGATTTAGTGGGGAGGGCCGGGCTCGTGATTTAGTATTAGGGGTGAAGCCCGGGCTCGTGATTTAGTATTGGGGGGAGCCCGGGCTCGTGATTTAGTATTGGGGGGAAGCCCGGGCTCGTGGTTTAGTATTGGGGAAGCCCGGCGGGAATTTCTATTTCAAAGATTTCAAAGATTTCAAAGATTTCAAAGGTTGCAAAAGGTTTGGGAAACTTCCCGGGAGTTTCCCCCGCCTTTGGCAACCTTTGAAATCTTTGAAATCTTTGAAATCTTTGAAATAGAAATTCCCCCAGTACTAAATTACGAGCCCGGGCTCGTGATTTAGTATTGGGGGGAGGCCCGGGCTCGTGATTTAGTATTTGGGGGAGGGCCGGGCTCGTGATTTAGTATTGGGGGGAGGCCCGGGCTCGTGATTAGTATTGGGGGGAGGGCCGGGCTCGTGATTTAGTATTAGGGGTGAAGCCCGGGCTCGTGATTTCGTATTGGGGGAAAGCCCGGGCTCGTGATTTAGTATTGGGGTGAGGCCCGGGCTCGTGGTTTAGTATTGGGGAAGCCCGGGGGGAATTTCTATTTCAAAGATTTCAAAGATTTCAAAGGTTGCAAAAGGTTTGGGAAACTTCCCGGGAGTTTCCCCCGCCTTTTGCAACCTTTGAAATCTTTGAAATCTTTGAAATAGAAATTCCCCCAATACTAAATTACGAGCCCGGGCTCGTGATTTAGTATTGGGGGGAAGCCCGGGCTCGTGATTTAGTATTGGGGGGCGGGCCGGGCTCGTGATTTAGTATTGGGGGGAGGCCCGGGCTCGTGATTTAGTATTGGGGGGAGGGCCGGGCTCGTGATTTAATATTAGGGGTGAAGCCCGGGCTCGTGATTTAATATTGGGGGGAAGCCCGGGCTCGTGATTTAGTATTGGGGGGAAGCCCGGGCTCGTGGTTTAGTATTGGGGAAGCCCGGGGCGAAGATTTCAAAGATTTCAAAGGTTGCAAAAGGTTTGGGAAACTTCCCGGGAGTTTCCCCCGCCTTTTGCAACCTTTGAAATCTTTGAAATCTTTGAAATAGAAATTCCCCCAATACTAAATTACGAGCCCGGGCTCGTGATTTAGTATTGGGGGGAAGCCCGGGCTCGTGATTTAGTATTGGGGGGAAGCGCGGGCTCGTGATTTAGTATTGGGGGGAGGGCCGGGCTCGTGATTTAGTATTGGTGATTCAGTATTGGGGGGAAGCCCGGGCTAGGCCCCCAATACTAAACAAAGAGGCTACCTCACATTATACCTAAAGGTCCTTCGTACATAGGGTTTATAGTTATGGGATCATAGGTCTTGTACGGTCCTAGGGCTTGTAGGGTTTAGGGTTTTAGGGTTTCAGGGCTTTAGAGTAGAGTTTGGGGATCGACCCTGGAAAAGCCATCCTTTAGGAACAACCTGCCGCACCCGTTCTTCCCCCCTCCCCCCTTCCCCCTTTGTTTCTTTTGTGGCGAAGGCCTTGTGGCTTGCCGCCTGAATGACCACGATGGTTAGAAATATATGGGTTTTGAGGTTCAAGGGTTCCGTCAAGGGTTCCGGGCGTCAGGGCTCAGAATTCTGCTCCAAAGGGCTATAGGAAGGCCCTCGTATTCAGCATTCGAAGCTTAAGGGGTCAGGATTTCGGGGCTTGATGGCTCAGCTCTCTGGCACAGACTGCTGCCGTCACCACCAAGGTCCGGGTCACCCCAGACCGTCACAGATCCATCCCCCAGAATCGCGGCAAATGCGCCTTCAGAGGCTGCGATGTGCCTCACATCCTTCAGCTCAACATCGCTGCTGTCACCCCCACAGGATTGGCTGCCCCAGGTCACCACCGACCCATCTTTTAAGATCGCAGCGAAGGAGGAGACCGAAGCTTGGATGTCTGAAACACCTCGGAGCTGATCTTGCACGGCGCTGCTGTTGCCCCCGCTGCCCGGATCGCCCCAGGTCACCACAGAGCCATCGCTTCTTAGGGCGGCGAAGGCCTCTCCGCAACGCTGGATGCGCTTCACGCTCTTCAGCTGATCTTGCACGGCGGTGCAATCGGCCCCGCTGTCAGCGTGGCCCCAAGTCACCACCGACCCATCCTGACGGATTGCAGCGAAGGCGTGCCCGGAGGCTTGGATGCGCAGGACGTTCTTGAGCTGGTCTTTGACAGCGCTGCAGTCGCCCCCGCATTCAGGGTATCCCCAGGTCACCACCGATCCATCCTCACGGATTGCAGCAAAAGCAGACTCAGTAGCTTGGATGTCCCGAACATTCTGGAGCTGGTCTTGCACGTAACTGCAGTCGCCACCAACTTCGGGATCACCCCAGGCCGCCACAGATCCGCCCTCACAGATCGCAGCAAAAGCGAAGACCGACGCTTGGATGCGCTGCACGTTCTTCAGCCGACCTTCCACGGCACTGCAGTCGCCCCCAAACGCGTCGTCACCCCAGACTGCTGCCGAGCCATCCTCCCGGATGGCGGCAAAGGCGCGCCTCGTGGCTTGGATGTGCCTCACGTTCCTGAGATCCACGGTGCTGGAGTCGCCCCCACCGTCGACATTGCCCCAGGTCACCACCGACCCATCCTCGCGGATGGCAGCAAAAGCGCACTCAGAAGCCTGCAGATCCCTTACATTCTTGAGCTCCTCTTGCACACTGCTGGCATCGCCCCCACTCTCAGGATCCCCCCAAGCCACAACCGATCCATCACTTCGGATTGCTGCAAAAGCAGCTTCGGAGGCTTGGATGTGCTGGACGTTCTTGAGCTGGTCTTGCACCTCGCTGCAGTCGCCACCAAGTGCAGCATCGCCCCAGGCCGCCACAGATCCGTCGCCCAGGATCGCCGCGAAGGCGGCCACGTTTCCGAACTCATGCTTCTGAGTGGCGATCACCTCTTAGTTGCCGAGTTCATAAGGGTGCCAAAGAAGTGTACACTTTCAGTTCTAGAGGGGATTATCGTATCCCAAAAACGTCTTTTAAAGTGTACTCACTCAGCTACGAAGACCTGAACTGTCCTCAGGTGAAAGGTCAGCGCATCACCAGTCGTCAACCCAGCTCCTTCCACGCTTCCTCTTCCATCCAGTACATCGCCAGAGGAGGACAGCAGCCTTCCTCAAGGGACTCAAGGGGGGTTTAGGGTTTAGGGTTTAGGGTTTAGGGTTTAACCTTACAAGGGACCTTAGGGGGTATTGAGGAGCTTCTGAGGTATGTAGGGACTCCATACGTTATTATATATCGGGGTAAAAAAGATGGGTTATATATAGGGGGATAAGATGAAGCATCCCCCCTAAACCCTAAACCCTAAACCCTAACCCTAAACCCTAAACCCTAAACCCTCCTTCTACCCCTTAGCTTCCTTTGCCGACGGCCAATGCATGCTGCGCTCGTTGGCTCAGCACGTCGATGGACTCTGACGGCTCCGTTTGCAACTTCACGCTCTTGCCACCTTACCGTTTAGGGTTTAGGGTTTAGGGTTTAGGGTTTAGGGTTTAGGGTTTAGGGTTTAGGGTTTAGGGTTTAGGGTTTAGGGTTTAGGGTTTAGGGTTTAGGGTCCATTTGTATTACCATTATGGAATTAGGTACCCAAAAACCATACTAAATAGGGTTTTTGGGGTACCTAATTCCATAGTAGTACTACAAATGGACCCTCTGGGTTAGTTGCTGAACCAGTTCTAGTGGGGGGTTCTAGTATCCCAAAAAGAGTAACGTGTGCTCCTAAAATATGACCCTCTTAAACCCCAATAAGGGAAAATCTTAAAATGTCCCAAGGGCCTACCCAGCCACTTATAAGGTTCACTTCGATCGTGATCGACATGGGGACCGCAGGCCATGCGGAAGCTCGAACTCTACAAAGTTCAGCTGCAGCGAAACCAACCTTGAACTTCTCATGCATACCAGCCCTAAACCCCCAAAGAGTACTAAAACCCTAAAAACCCTTGGGGTTTTTAGGGCTTTTAGGGTTTGGGGTTTCTGAAACGGGCGTTATACCGAAGCCCTTGAGAGGGGGGGGGGGGGGGGGGGGGGGGGGGCATACTTTGCGAACACCTCTGTAAACCGTAACCCCAAACCCTGCACCCTAAACCCTAAACCGCAAACCCTAAACCTTAAAACGAAGGCCCTCAACCACAAACCCTGGACCTTGAACCCGCGCTTCTTGCATGGCATCCGAGAGCAGCTCCGGTTTAGGGTGTTGAGGCCTGCTTTTTAGGGTTTGGGTTTTTTTTTTTTTTGGGGGGGGGGGGGGGGGGGGGGGGGGTGGTTAGGATCTAGGGTTTAGGTTTGTTTTTTGGGTGGGGGGGAGGGGGAGGGGTGAAGGGGTGCCCCTAAACCCTGAGGCCCGAAGCCCTAAACCCCAATCACCGAACTGCAACTCGCCGATCCAGAAGCCTAAGAACAAATCCAAGGTTTAGGGTCTACGGTTTAGGGTTTAGGGTTTAGGAGAATCATCCTTGTATAGCTCCTTGCAAACATATTGAGAAAACACATTTTTCGATTCAGAGTCTATAGCCCTCCTTATGCAGGCATATGAGACAATAAAGCCACCCGACAATAGCGGCTGACACCAAAAAAAGGGTTTAGGGTTTAGGGCTTCGGGTTTAGGGTTTAGGGTTTAGGGTTTAGGGATTAGGGGCCCTCATGATCCATGGGTGGCATGGGGGTGGGGGAGGTCGAGCACGTGTCGCTTTATGCCAGCCCTCTGGCAATTACAACATGTGCTCAACCCCGGACCCTCAATCTAAACCCTAAATCCTGAACCTCATAAACCCTAAGTCCCGAACCCTAAACCCTGAACCCTCGACCCTTAACCCGAAACCCTCAGCCCTGACAAACCTCATTCAGCCTGGCATCCTAACGATTTAAGTTTTTAAGTCGCCACGGAATGGAGAGGGCTGGGGATTTAGGGCTGAGGGTCTTGCAAATTGGGCTTTTTTCGTGCAGGGTTTAGGATTCTCCATAACCCCCTTCCAGGTCCTAAGGCAAGGCGACATGTTTCGGAACTCCGTGTTCGTTATCGGGTCTTCTTGCTGCCTTTCCGCGCTTTGCGCGACTTCCCTGAGGCATCAGAGGCAGCATCCCAAGTGCTGGCGGCCTGCGTTGAGCCAGGAGGCTCGAACCCATGCTAAGGGTTTATAGGGCTTAGAGGGTTTGCAGGGCTTGTAGGTTTTTTTTTTTTAATATGGGGTTTAGGGTGCTGAAATTAGGGCTTATAGGGTTTAAGGATCAATTTCTAAACCCTAAACCCTAAACCCTAAGCCCTAAGCCATAAACCCTAAACCCTAAGCCACCAAAAGCAACCAAACCCCTAAACCCTGCACCCTCAACAGGTCGCCTTCTTGGTTTGAAAGTTTAGGGTGCCGGGGGTTTAGGGTTTAGGGTTTAGGGTTTAGGGTTTGGGGTTTAGGGTTTAGGGTTTGGGGCCCAGGGCAGGCCTTCTTCTTCCTAAGTAGTGCTTCTTCTGCACAGTAATTAATCTTCACCAGTCATTGAATGGCTATTTGCTAGCACAGGAGGCCACCAACAAAAGACCAAAAAACCCAAACCCGAACCACTCAACCAAAAACTGCAACCGTGGGATGTTCCCCCTTATGCTAACAGTCCTTAATAGGGATTGTAGTACCTCCTATTCTAAGCCTAAGCCCCAAACCCCAAACCCGAAACCGTAAACCCTAAACACTAGTCTCCTTCTTCACTCCAAAGCCCTGGGCCCTCTACCACTGCCTCGGTCTTGGGCGAGCATATGCCTGGCGGAAAAGGTTTAGGGCTTTGGGTTGAGGGTTGAGGGTTTAGGGCAGTTTAGGGTTTAGGGTTTAGAGGTTAAGGTTTAGGGTTTAGGGTTTAGGGTTTAGGGTTTAGGGAGGGTTGGGGAAGGCCCAAATCGTCAGGGGTGGGGGGGGGGGGGGGGGGGGGGGGGGGGGGGGGTCGGATTCTAGAGTGTCTCCAGCAACGTTAGGCTTTAGGGTTTAGGTTGGCATCATTACGCACAAGAAACACCCTCAACAAAATGACTTGCCTGAAACTTGAAACCTAAACCCTAAACCCTCAACACTGATCCTGAAACACGATAAAGCCCAAACCCTGAACGATGGTATCGAGAGACACAGAAACCTAAGCCCTAAGCCCTAAGCCCTAAGCCCTGAGCCCTAAGCCCTAAGCCCTAAACCCTAAATAAGCCCTAAACCCTAACCCTAAACCGCAAACCCTGCTGGCTGAACCGTGGGGTGCCTAGGCCCACGAAGAGCTGATGAAGGCCGTGCCAAACATAGCTCAAGCCGCAGGCCACGCAGAACCTCGAAGCTCTGAACCGTGTTGCGATGTGTGTATATGTATATATAAATATGTGTATATATATATATATATATGTATATATATATGTATATATGTATATATATATATATATGTATGTGTGTGTGTGTGTGTGTGTGTGGCACAAATTCTGGGTTTAGGGGTCGGAAGGGGACATTTTCCTAGGCTTGAGAAATTCTCCGGGTCATCTCTACATCCGATGGCGGCCGAAGATTCCAGTGCTTTCTCCCAGACAACTTCAGGGGTTGTTGGTTTTAGGGTAGGGTTTCAAGGTTTAGGGTTTAGGGCTTAGGGTGTTAAGGTTTAGGGTTTAGGGTTCAGGATTTAGGATTAGAATGCGCTTGGGCAGTGCATACTCTAGTCTTGCAGGGCCTTGGCAGGATCACAACGGGATAAGGTCCGGGGGCTAAGTTTTGACGTCCACGCCGTCGCGCTGTGCGCGTCGTGCGAAGCATTCCTCGGGAATGCTGCCGCTTCAAAAACTGGCACTTTGCACCAGCCAATTAAACCAGTGTACTCAAAGAATCCATATGAGCCCATGGTCCGTCAATACTTTGGGACCCAAGGAATGCCTCACAGAGGTACTTTAAAGGTCCTTGGGCCCTTTAGGACAAAAACCATGTGAGGCCTGTGCTTTGAGTACTTGCCCTGAGGGTCCATATACCTAGATAGGGAATACTTGGGCCTTGAAGTACTTCCTCGATGAGAATTTGGGGCCGAAGTATATAATCATGAGGTACATGGACCCTTAGGACTGAATGCCTAAGTGCCCTAGTACGCTTATCTATAAGTACAGTTATAAGTATGGACCCTTAGGGTTGCTGATGGAAAATCTAAGCTCTGCTGCAGCCGTGAGGTCGTCAGGCCTCGGACAGAAGCTCAGCCGTGACCGCGGCAAAGTCTTCCCCTCCTCTGCAGGGTAACGGATCCAAAACAACAGTTTAAATAAGGGTCGAAAATACGAATAAGGATCTAAATCCAAGCAAATTAAATAAGGATCAACAAATACAATAAGGGTCAAAAAACATAAAATATATAAGGATCAAGAGAACAAATCAGCGGAGTCAAAAAATAAGAATCAGTCCTCTGCAGACGTCTGTGACGCAGTCGGCGAAGATCTGTGCATCCGTGCCGTCGGCATCGCGCATGTGCTCGCCCAAATGCTTTGCACAAATCTGCTCAGCATTCCTAGGCTGCAGCTGCAGCTGCCACGTGGGTTTCAAGTAGGAAGACGCTCTCAACCCTAAACCTATACCCTATAAACCCTAAACCTTATATAAACCCTAGGCCCCGAACCCGGAAGGATTCGCAACTCCCAGGACTTTTTTGGTCATCACGAACTGTCACAGGTACCGTTCATGCACACTGCAACTGGCATTTTCCTATACTGGGATCTCACCTTTTGGGGCATTGCAAGGGGTTAGGGTTTAGGGTTTAGGGTTTGAGCCCCCCTACAAAACCCTAAGCCCTTAGCCAAGAAAAAAACTAAAAAACTCAAACCCTACAAAAACCCAAACCCTAGAAAACAACCGAAACCCCAAAAAAACCTAAACCCTATATAAATATATGTTTGGGGCTTTATAGTGCTTGCGAATTTGAAATTTCAGAGCCGCACGGTGGATGCCCTCTCGGAGTTCGCTGAGGGTGGGGATTTGGGGTTTAAGGTTCAGGGGTTTAGAGGTTCAGGGGTTTAAGGAGTTGCTGTAACCCTAAACCCTAAACCCTAAACCCCAAACCCTACACCCTAAACCCTAAACGCTAAGATTAGGGACTAGAGATTCTGGATCTGGGGAGCTAGGGGCCGTTTAGGTGTTGAAGGGTTGGGGGGGGGGGGTTGACGGGGGGGTTGAGGGCTTCGCCTCTTGGCAAGCAAGCGTCTTCTTCACTGCCCCCGTGCACGAGGTCTGCAGGAACATCTTCTTCTCAAGGTGCTGCAAGAACTCTGATGCCATCGTGCTCCCACCCAGGGCTTTCCAGTCCTGGCCTAGGTTGCCCAGTAGCCTAGGATGAAAAAAAAGTGCCCTTGTTTTGCTTAGGGGTGTTGATAAGGGGAACCTAAACCCCCCCACAAAAGGGAATAAGGGTACCACTGGGCATCCTGGTGGCTTGTTGCATACATCTCCTGCTTCTGCGCGTTGCCCACTTCGATCTGGCCTTTCAGGAACCTTCGCTCGGCCACATTCGGCAGGTTGACGCGCATGTTGATCACCCCACGCTTGCAGATCGTGCGAAGGGCCAAGGTGTCCTTCAGTCCCTTCTCGGTCTTCATCCGGAGGACAAGGTTCGTTGGGTCGGAAAACTCGAAGCTGCTGACGTGCTCCTCACCCTCAAGCAAGGAGAGCGTGCTCGGTTTAGAGATCTCCACCCAATCCTTAGCATGGCCCTATAACTACAATCACTTGCAAAAGAAGTCACTTTATCATAGCCCCTCTCAAGATGTGAGAGGTTACCCTAAACCCTAAACCCTAAACCCTAAACCCTAAACCCTAAACCCTAAACCCTAAGCCACATACAACAACCATTAGGTCGAATGGACTGCCAAGCATCTCCGTTCTCTCCCGTCCTGCTGCGCCACTGGCAGTCCTCTGGCTGGTTCTCAGTAGGGAATGGGGGAATGGGGTACCCTATATAAAACCTTACAGGCTAGGGTTTAGGGTTTAGGGTTTAGGGTTTAGGGTTTAGGGTTTAGGGTTTAGGGTTTAGGGTTTAGGGTTTAGGGTTTAGGGTTTAGGGTTTAGGGTTTAGGGTAAAGGGTATGGGGCCCTAATTTCCCTCATTCCCTACTAAGAACCAGGGGGTCCTTGGCAGTCAACTCCAGGGCTTGACGGAAACGGCCCATGGAGCGATCAACCAGCAGCACGGATTGAGTCGTCCACCACGGCCCGCCATAGTGGGCGTAAAGGTGCCAATCCACCTGAGGGTTTAGGGAGTTTAGGGGGTTTAGGGGGTTTAGGGAGTTTAGGGGGTTTAGGGAGTTTAGGGAGTTTAGGGAGTTCAGGGTTCAGAACGTAAAGGTGCCAGTCCACCTCGGATGCTGTAGATGGGTGCGCAATCTTCTGCCCGGAGTACTGGAAGAGTGAGAAGGTGCCGTTCTCATACACGTCGAACCTGTCACCGTCCAAGGTGAAGACGTGGGGATCGCCGATCGGGCCGGTGAATTGCCTGTGCTGTGAATCATTAGGGTTTAGGGTTTAGGGTTTAGGGATTTCCTACACAACATCTAAGCCCGGCTTTGTGATCTACAACTCCCCCTCCAGGCCTTAAGGTTTAAGGTACAGGGCTTGCAAGAACAGAGACGTTGCATGAAACTGTCAGCCGTTCCATCGGCATCTGTCAATGAAAGGAAATGGGAAACCCTAAACCCTAAACCCTAAACCCTTATAAGCCCATAAAACGCCAACCCAAAGCACGTCCCAGACACCTATGAAGCCTGTAGCATGTCAGGGAAGGTCTTGGGCGCTCGGCCTTCTTGCAGGAAAACTTAAGGGGCTAGTGGCTACTGGTAGCGTATACGGCTTCTCAGACTGAAGTGGTATTGATCTTATAGTCTATAAACCCTAAACCCTAAACCCCAAACCCCAAACCCTAAACCCTATAAACCCTAAACCCTAAACCCCATAAAGCAGCAAGAACCCTCCGAGCCCATCCCCAATGGCTGCCGACCGGGCCGCGAGCAGGACCGGAGTTGGCGGAGGCCCCCAGATCCACCCATCTGGATGACAATCTTCTTGACGTTCTTGCCCCCGGTGTCGAGGTTCATGATCGCACCTTCTGGCTGCTTCTTATAGTAGGGAAGGAGGGAATGAGGTACCCCTATAACCTTCTTCGTAGGGAATCAGGGAATGAGGTATACCCTATCACCACCATGACATAGGGCCCTCGAATTGCCTCACTCCCTGCTGAGAACCCCGGGGGGCCTTTGGCATCTTGTGCGGGACCACTGGGAGCATGGACGTGCTTCAAGAGCAAGTCATCCTTGCCGAAGACGTCAATGAAGGTTGGCTCCTCTAGGTCCCAGATCTCGATGTCCACAAGCCTATGGAGGCCTGATCTGGAGGGTTCAGGGTTCAGGGTTCAGGGTTTAGGGTTCAGGGTTGAGGGCTTAGGGTTCATGGTTTAGGGCAACCTAGGAATGAAACATACCTTTTCGCGGGGGCTTGATCAGGTTTTTTCAGGGGACATGTAGGGCATGGGACCCCTCCCAACTCTCTGGGTAGGGCCCGGGTTTATCGGCTAGGGTTCGCAAAGTCCTGCACTGGTCAGGGCTTTGGGCTTTAGGGCCTAGCCATGTTGCCTCAGAATGTAAAGGGAATCAGAACATACCCTCAACCCTGAACCCTAAACCCGAAACCGCGAACCCTAAACCCTAAGCCCTAAACCCTAAACCCTAAACCCGAAACCGTAAACCCTAAACTTTAAACGGACAAAGGGTGCAGCATCACTGAACCTTCCGAAAGCATCCAGGAAGCGTGGAAACTCGATTGTGATCTCCACACCGGGATGCTCACCGCAGTCGTTCCTCGAAAGCCGCTGGCAAGCAGGACCGGCTTTTTTGGGATGCAGGGTTTATAGGGTTTAGGGTTTAGGGTTTAGGGTTTGGGGTTTGGGGTTTAGGGTTTAGGGTTTAGGGTTTAGGGTTTAGGGTTTAGGGTTTAGGGTTTAGGGTTTAGGGTTTAGGGTTTAGGGTTTAGGGTTTAGGGTTCAATAATACCAGAGCACCTTTGATGCCAAGTGCGAGCCGATGCATGACAACAGCTTAAGAGATGGCGAGATGTGTCCTTCGCTTGAGCCGAGCTGCACCTTGCGTGTGTTGCCATCTTTGGACCACACCATGAAATAGCCTTCGTTGCTGAGCTCATATGCCCCCCAAAATGGGTTTAGAGTTTAGGGTTTAGAGTTGAGGGTTCTGTAGCCTTTGAGTTCTATAGGGGATTATTGTATCTCAAAAAGTGTAAAGTGTACTCAGTCAGCTACTAAGTAGCAGTTGTCGGCCCCCTGCCCGCATGCTTGGAGATCCTGGACAGGGCTTGCAACAGAGAGGCTAAGAAAACACAAATAAAGATGGATCAGGAAAGTTTGAGTTCGAAGCTTCTCGAACATTCTCAACATTACCGACACTTGGCTTCAACTGACGGAAAGGAGTCTTAATTGAAGAGTACTTGGTGGTAGCCTGAGAATGTCTTAGCGGGGCGCTGGACACGGATGTTTATCATCACGATCATCTCTCGACTGGCAGCCCGCAATGCTTGTCTAAGATGCAGCTAATCAGTAAAGCATACCCTGAACTTCTAAACTTACAGGGTTCTTAAGGGAAGGGGGTTCTAGGGGGGTATGTAACCCAAGAAGGTTCCCAAATACTCCCCACTACTCCCTAAGCCTCCCTGAGCTTCCCTAAGGTTCCCTAGTATAGGTACTTACCCTCCATGGACCCCCTCCCTTAAGAACCCTGTAGTAAACCTTCTAATCCCTCACCTCCCTCTCAACCCTGAACCCTACACCCCAAAAGAACTTTGAAACTGCAATTCTCGGGGAACCTTGTCAATCGTCCTGCCATTCGTGTCCAGCACCAGCAAGGGGCCGGGCATTCGGGCTGTCCGACTTGAGGCTCCGTGGCACGCCGCACGGCCGTGATGGTCACTCCTGCAAACCTTTAAGCCCAAAACCCTAAACCGTCAACCCCACTAAGCCCAACAAAAAGACCCTGACCTTCAGCTGAAGTCCTGGAACTGACCAGATGATGTACAAGAGGATGTAGGAGAGGCTTGCAAGACACGGTAAGTTTCTTTAAGATCTACAGGAAATGGGACTTGGGCCCAATGTAGACATTTAGGACTAAATTCCCAAATCAAAACCCAAAAAACAAAAACTCTCCCACTCCTTGAATGGAATCGGGCTTGATCTCGTCTCCGTGGTTGAAGCTCTCGAAGTTGAGCACGTTCGGATCTTTGCCATTGCAGACCTCTTTTTCGCCCAGGGCCTCCTGCAAGTCCTGGTGGCCCGGATGGGCCTCGGAGCTACGGTGCGCCTGGAGCCTAGGCTGCGCAGTAACCTAGGCTTGAAAAAAGGGTGCCCACTTTTTTTGCTTAAAGGGGTTTAAATAAGGGAACCGAAACGCCCCCAAAAAGGGAACAAGGGCACTACTGGGCATCCTAGGAGCATGCAGGAAGCATCGGAAGCATCCTCCGGGCTCCCTCCAACAACCGCAAGAGGGAGCACACATGCCAGAAGCCACCTCAGCATCCTTCTTTGCTGAAGTGCTGACGATTCGGTACCGGGTCGCCTTCTTTCTGCTGCAAGCTTGAGCACAAGTCAACGAAGGCAAACGATCGAAGCCCTTTCCCAGACCCAAGAGTAGGCTAGGAAAAAAGAGGGTAGCCTTTTTGGGCTCCAAGCGGCTGAATTATGAGGGAACCCCAAAACCCTGAAAAAGGAGAAAGGGCCTCCGGGCGCGTGTAGAAATTGAGGACTATTCCCAAACCAACCCCAGAGAAAGACGAGAGCCAACATCCTCCGCACGCTCGACCTTCTTGCCAAAATGAAGGGGGCCCATCTGGTGCCCAACGGTTTAGGATTTAGGGTTTAGGGTTTAGGGTTTAGGGTTTAGGGTTTAGGGTTTAGGGTTTAGGGTCACAAGCAATGAAGGTCCACCTGGAAGATCTCAACCTCCCGACAAGCAAAGTTCGAGGAAAAACACACCCTTCCCGCATTTCTAGGCAGGCCCTTGGGAGTCTTAATCTGAGGAGCTCCCTAAACCCTAAACCCTAAACCCTAAACCCTAAACCCTAAACCCTAAACCCCAAACCCTAAAGGCTCCTGAATTCGAAGGCGGGTTGCGGCGTGAAGAGCCACATCCTGATTTCACTTGGCTGCACTCAGGAGGGTAGCTATAAATCAAATTAACTTAGCTGCCTGATTAAGAAACCCAACAAACCCAAAAAGGGTAAGGATCTAAAGTTACAGTAAACCACCACAAAGTTCAGGCCGGTTCAGGCTTGCTTGGGTCTGAGAAGGGTGGGAATTTAGGGTTTGGGGTTTGTGGGTATTATGCCTTCAAGAGCCTTGGGGGGGCGTAGAGTTTGTGGCTTCAGGGCACCCTGGCGGGAGTGTTTGCTACTGCGCAGGCGCGCTCACATCCTGTTTTCGGGGCCCAACCCGTGCATCTCACGTCGAAGGTTAAAACCCCAGAGGGTCCATTTGTAGGACTGTTGTGGAATTAGGTACCCCAAAACCCGATTTTGTCTGGTTTTTGGGTACCTAATTCCAGAATAGTACCACCCATGGATCCTCTGGGAAACAAGAAACATTTGCGGAAAGTCAATTCCCCGTCTTTTCATGGGACAGTTCTTGAGGAGAGACATGCAGGTACCTACTATTTGCTTAAGAATCCCCCCCATAAACACAAAAAAACACATTCCCTATATCACCCTTGTATAAGGAAGGGAAGGTACTATACATCGTATAAATCATATACGGACACCCCGCCCCCCCCCCCCCACCCCTTGACCTACCGTTCTCTGCTTTCCTTGTAAATGCCGTTTCAAGCCCACTGGTTCCTGTACGGTTCTTGATACTTTAAGTAGCTGTATCATCGACCACAGGATTCGACACCGACACCGGCAAAACAAAACAACTCCAGAGCAAAGAGGTGGATCCGGAACAAGCTGTGTTTTTGGTTTTACCTCGTAAAAAGGATGGAATTCTTGACAAAACCAATTTTTCCCTCGTTGAATTTGAATAACTGGTGTTTGGCAAGAAAACCATGTTTTCACGATGGAAAAAGTAGGCTTTGGCAAGGCAACTATCTTTTTGCAAGGGACAGCCCCAAACAAACTTGCTCCGGATCCACCTCATTGCTCGGAAAAAGTTGGGTTTTTGGTATTCCTACTAACCCTAAACCCTAAACCCTAAACCCTAATCAACTAATAGCACCCTCCAACTCAAAACCTTTTCAACCCCATAAGCCTCATGAACTCCAAGACCCTTTAAGTCCTACAGCGGTTTAGGGTTGAGGGTTTAGGATTTAGGGTTTGGGGTTTGGGGTTTGGGGTCCTGCAAGCCTTAATAAGCCCCTAAACCCTAGACCACAAACCCTATAGACCTCACAGACCCCAGAAAAGAACGCCCAATAAGCCGCAAACCTCAAAACGCTATACTGAACTTGATACCCTAGCAAAAAAACACAATTCCAGCTGTGTAGGAATTACAGTACAGTACCCAAACTTTCAGAATTATTCCCAAACCCCAAACCCTAGTACCCCAAGCCCTAAACCCCAAACCCCAAACCCTACACCCTAAACCCCAAACCCTAAACCCCCCACACCCCAAACCCCCCAAACCCTAAACCCCCAAACCCTAAACAACAGGCCCTAAACCCTGAACCCCAAACCCTAAACCCCTAAACCCCAAACACTAAACCCCAAACCCTAAACTCCAAACCCTAAACCCCAAACCCTAAACCCCACACCCTAAACCCTAAACCCTAAACCCTGAACCCTAAACCCTACACCCTGAACCCTAAACCCCCAAACCCTAAACCCTAAACCCCCCCAAACCCTAAACAACAGGCCACAGCAGCTTCCCTGCCGGGCGTCAAGCGGTGGAGCGCCGAGCGCCCGCCGAAGCGGTCGAAGCGCAAGAGATACTGCAGAGCCAGGGAGATGCCTCCTTGGCTTGTTTTTTGGTAGTTTAGGGTTTAGGGTTGAGGGTTTCAGGGTTTAGGGTAGAGGTTTCAGGGGGTTTAAGGGTTCTGTCTAGTCTTTTTGCTCGTATGTCAGGAGGCTCCTCGAAATCCTTCATTTGGGGCTGGGGGGGGGGGGGGGGGGGTCTAGGGTTTATGGTTTAGGGTTTAGGACCTGGATATCTGAAGTACTCCGTAATCGTGGTCTAAGTGGGGGGGGGGGTCTAGGGTTTATGGTTTAGGGTTTAGGACCTGGATATCTGAAGTACTCCGTAATCGTGGTCTAAGTGTACCCTCCTGGGGTATTTAGGTTATCTTAAGAGGTACTTGGGGGGTCTATGGAGGTAATTTAAATCTATAATTTGGTTTGAAACAAAAGACCCTAAGCAACCGTAGCACTTGAAGCCCTAAACCCTATATAGCGTAAGATTGCTGAGCGCGCGATATTGTGCACAGGTCTAAGAAAAAAAGGCGCCGGCACACCCTTCGCGTCCACTGATGCACCTTCTCCATACTAAACCCTAAACCCTAAACCCTAAACCCTAAACCCTAAACCCTAAACCCTAAACCCTAAACCTGAAAAAATCAAACCCAAAAGCCTAAACCCTAAACGTAAACCCTTGACCCCTCCCCCCCGGCCCCCCCGACCCCCCCCCCCCCCCCCTCCGGCTACCCCCCCCCCCCCCCCCCTAAACCATACACGAAGAAACTTGACCTTCGCTCCGGGTGGCCGTTGTCATGAAACCATTGAGATTGGCCCATGAGCTCGTCAACCTCTGCGAGCCTGGAGACGGGGGTTAAAAGACTTCGAAACCCTAAACCCCATACCCTTAGAGGTTAAGGGTTTAGGGTTTAGGGTTTAGGGTTTAAGGTTTAGGGTTAAGACTGAGAGCCTTTAGGTTCTAGGTTCAGGAAGGTGAGGCGGGTCAGGGCGGGTCAGGGTTTAGAGTGGTAGGGCTTCAGTGTTTCAAGGGCTTGACGGCTGAGAGCTTAGGGATAGGGTTTAGGGTTTAGGGTTTAGGGTTTAGGGTTTAGGGTTTAGGGTTTAGGGTTTAGGGTTTAGGGTTTAGGGTGTAGGGTTTAGGGTTTAGGGTTTAGGGCTTAGGGTTTAGGGTTTAGGGTGTAGCGTATCGGGTTCAACTTCATCGCCATGTATCGCGCGTGCCAGAAACCCTCAAACCCGAGCCTCATAGCCAACCCGCCAGACTCCCGAGAACCCCTAAAGCCTAAACCCTAAACCCTAAACCCTGTCCGAGGTGCGTGAAGTTCGCTGCTGGGGCGAAACCTGGCTGGTACCTTGGACTTGCTTACAATATTAGTGGGTACGTTTTTGGGGTCCTTAGAAGAAGGGGATCCTACTTTTGTTTTTTTCTTTGGGGGGGGGGGGGGGGGGGGGGGTGAATAGTAGGGGTCCCTGATTTTCGTCAGCCCCATATTTAGGGTTTTCTGGGACTCTTTTGGAGGCTAAGGTGGGTTTTTAAGGCTTTAGGGTTTAGGGTTTAGGTTCGAGGGTGTCCGGCTGATGAGGGTTTATTTAAGTGTCTAAGGGTCGGAGGGTTTAGCGCAGGGCGAAGGACTTGAAAAGCCAGAGCTTCTCAAGCGAAGGAGGCCAGAAGGCTCTTTTTTACTACAAACTGGAAACCCCAAACCCCAAAACCCTTCAACCCTCAACCCTAAACCCTACACCCTATACCCTAAACCCTAAACAAGCCTAGCAGCGCACATGAAATACAGCTTCATCAGGGTTTAGGGTTTATGGGGTATGGGGTTTAGGGTTTAGGGTTTAGGGACTAGGGATTTCTGAGCGCTTGCCCACCGAAGCTCCAATCCGAACACCGTATGGTTGGGAAACTGTGCACAACCCTGAACCCCGAAGCAACTAAAGCCTAAACTCCTAACTAGCCCCTCGCAGCCTCATACTCTACCCCCACAACCCCTAAACACTAAACCATAAACCACAAAGCTCCCCAAAGCCTAAACCCTAAACCTTAAACCCTAAACCCCCAAAACTCCCGTAAATCCCAGCCCCATGGAGAGAGCAGAGTGGCCAGAAGATGGCATCTCCCTGGGTCCCAACGGTTTAGGGTTTAGGGTTTAGGGTTTAGGGTTTCGGGTTTCGGGTTTCGGGTCTTAGGTCTTTCTAAGGAATGCTTGATCCCCCCACTCCCTCCCCAGGGCTCAGGGTTTCGGATTTGGGGTTTGGGGTTTGTGGTTTAGGCTTGCTCTTCGCGATCATGAAGGGTCCATGAGACCACCTTCTCTTCGGCCCGTTCGTTCAAACGACATTTGGCGCTTGTAGCTTTTTGAGCGTTGCAACCCATGAGTCCCAACTGGAAAAACCGGCAGCAGTTTAGGGTTTAGGGTCTAGGGTCTAGAGTCTAGAGTCTAGGGTTTAGGGTTTAGGGTTTAGGGTTTAGGGTTTAGGGTTTAGGGTTTAGGGAGACTGGCCCAGACACAGCCGACACTGGAAGACTCCATGTTGGGACTAAAAAAGGGACCTTTCGGGTCTAGGGTTTAGGGTTTAGGGTTTAGAGGCTAGGGTTTAAGGGGTTAGAAGGGATTTTAGGGGGTTAGTTGGGGGTTCTTTAGGGGCTACTTAGGTGCATAGGGACTATATTAGTATATATAGGGGACCTTATACCCCTCAATTAAGCAGGACATGGGGGTTCACCACACAGGGGTACCCCTTGGAATGCTCCCCCTTCTGTCCTTAATGGGGATTTAAGGACTGCTAGTATACGGGGGAACATCCCAAACGACATGACATGGGCGTTCCCCAAAAGAGGGGTACCCCCCATATCCCCAAAAAAAGCGTACGATAATTCCCATTGTTAGGCCACCCTTTTTCTGGGAAAACCCTGACATCGGCGTGACACTGCAGTGTCCACCTCAAACCCAAAATCCTAAACTCACAAACGCTCCATTTCAGAGTTTAGGGAAAGCTTAGGGTTTAGGGTTTAGGGCCCACGACCTACAAAACCTCTCGAATACAAAGTTCATCAAAACGTTCACCCTCCTGAGTTTCCCACCGTCAGTCTCGACTTTGCGAAGACAAAGATCTCGGGAGGTGGCGTCCAGGAGTAGGGAAAGAAATCCTCCTCAGCTGGGTTGGGGTTCAGCTGGGTTGGGGTTTAGGGTTTCGGGTTTAGGGTAGGGCTTAGGGTTTAGGGTTTCGGGCTTCGGGCTTAGGGCTTAGGGCTGAGGGCTGAGGGCTTAGGGTTTAGGGTTCAGGGTTTAGGGATCCAAGTTCACATAGGCCTCGCTCTCATATCTCGTTCCAGCTTGCAAATAGAAATAAGTAGCCAGCGAGTTCTTGTGGTAGTGAACAGGGATGTCTGACACACCGTCTGACAACATCAAGACATCATCCTTTTTGACAATCTCCCAGCCATTCTTGAGTAGCTTTCCGACTGCCAACAAAGGATTGACCACATTCGCAACGATGAAGCATTCTTGCATTTTGACTGCTTCTTGCTTCGAGCTGAATAGAGTCAAGTTGATTGCTGTCTTTCCTTGTGCAGGAATCTTTCTGCCTTGTGCGTCTCTGATGCCTGAATCGTTCTTCTTCTTCACAGGCACTCCCTCTTTGCCAAGCCCCAGAGGAATGAGGCTGACATCGGCGCCAGTGTCCAAAATCACTTCTATCTTCTCATAGGGTTTCGGGTTTAGGGTTTAGGATGTGTAGCCTGGAGTGATGGTCGGATATATAGCCTTAGTCACTGAGGAACCTTGTATATATATATATATACTTATATGCAATATGTGTTTCTATACACAAGGTTACTCAGCGACTGATGCTAAAGAACCGGTGTTAAGTTAGCGGACCATGTTTTTTTGTACTCTATGTCTCTATCCATATCAGGTAAGCAGTAGATTGTATGCGACCCATACAGGCCCAAGCCTCTTATGGCGGCTGACGTAGGGTTTAGGGTGTAGGGTTTAGGGAACTTAGGGAAACCTCAACCCTTCTTTAGGGTAGCTACATGGTCGCTTAACATGGGCCCTTAAACGGGGACGCCTGATATACCCCTTATATACCCAGCGGCCCCCTTTAAAGAAGGCAAGGGTCTAAAACCAAGGCACCATGGGAACTTCCCTTAGAACACTCCCAAACCCTGAACCCTAAGCCCCAAAGTTACAGAGGGCTCAGGGGGGTTGAGGGTTCTGGGCAGAAAGCATTCTTTCAGGTTTCTGGTTTCTAGGCTCCCCCCCCCCCCCCCCCTCAGGCGCCGATGCAAGTAGTAGCTGTAGCTCAGGGCATGAAATGGAAGGGTTTGCATCATGTGTCTTGAATTTAGGCCGTGGTTCTTGCGCCTATGGCTATGGTCCGGTCACGTCACGGCTGGTAGGTATCCTACGCCACGCCCCCCTATCTCAGACGCTAAACCCCCCCAAAAGCCTTGACGTCCCCCTAAAGTACACCTCTGTCGGCAAATGGGAGCGCTGCCAGTCTAGGCTCAAGTCCCAGAACCCCAAACTCTCCATGCCCCAAATCTCAAAGTAAGCTCTATCGGTATTACCCAAAAAACCCTAAACCCTTTCGACCCTACTTATGCCCAAAGCCTAGACCCTGCTTACGCCCGAAGCCTAGACCCCCACTTAAGCCATAAAAACCCGACGCCCTATACGAGACTCAAGAGTAACCTAGGAATAGATTTTTTCAAAGGGCACCCTTTTGGTTTAAAGGGCAGAAAAGGGAACCTGCACCCTTGGAAAAGGGCCTACCCTGGGTCCTGGAGACTCCAAAACCCCTTCATTGAAGAATATCCCTTAAATTGCAATGGGAACCCTACTATGGTGTAAGGTATATTCCTTAATCAAGGGGTTTTGGAGTTTCTGGGGTCCTACCTAGTATAGCAGCATTCCTACCCTAAACCCTAAACCCTGAACCCTGAACCCTAAACCCTAAACCGTAAACCCTATAGCAGCTTCATGGTGCAAGCGTCGAAATTCTTCGCCACCAGTGGAAACCAGGACCTGTCACCCATGTCCAAGGTCGGATTTGGAGGGGTTTAGGGTTTAGGGTTTAGGGGTTAGGTCAGGAATGAAAAGGGTCTCGGGGTTTAGGGCGTCGTTCTGGACCTTCAGGGGCTTCAGGCTTCGGTCAAACAAAACACCGAACAGCTAGCCTGCCAGAGCTGCCATGAAGCTGTCTCGGCTGTTTGAACAACCTCCCGAGGGCCTACCGAGTAAACCTCAACCCTTTGGAAGGGGAGGCCCAAAACAGTTTCACCCCTCCAAAGCCCCAAATCCCCTGAACCCCCTATAAATCCCCCAACCCTAAACCCTAGCCCTAAACCCCAAACCAACCCCCGAAACCCCCTTTCCGGGAGCCTCGCAAGCGCCCGCGAGTCTGAAGAGTCCACGTCCTTTCGGGGATAGGGCGTTTAGGATTAACAGGGGGTTCAAGGTTTAGGGTTTAGGGTTTAGGGTATAAAGGTTTTAAGGCTGTTTTTGGGTGCTAAGGGGCTTCAGGGTTTTAAGGGCTAAGGGTTGGGGACTTCAAGCAGGCCCCCGACGGGGCTTGATCGGAAGGTCTGCAGAGTTTTGGGATTCGGTCCAGACGACTACTTAGGATAACAGTGCGAAAGGGTTGTGGGCTAAGCGTTTACATGGGCTGCCTATACGGTGCAGGGTTCCGTCGGTTCAGCGGATTTGAAAACTATGTCCAAGGCTCATAGTTGGCCTGCTGGTCCCACCAACAGGACACAGGCATACGAGGAGGGCTCTTCAAGGCCAGAAACCTCTGCACCCGAAAGCCCTATACACCCCTCAACCCTGAACCCAAAGCCCCCTCAACTGTAAACCCCAAGCCCATGCACCCCCAAACCTGAAGCTGTGAAATCCTGCGCGAGAGCATGTTACACCGCGCAGAGCGTCAGCCGTAGCTCAGGCGCCCTTGAAGAAGGTCCGACATGTGCAGCCCTGTCACCTAAGCCTACACCTCAATACGGACTTGGAGCTTCGGGTTTAGGGTGCAGGGTCTAGAGTGTAGGGTCTAGGGTAGGGCTTAGGGTTTAGGATTAGGGTTCAGGGTTCAGGGTTTAGAGTTTAGGGTTTAGGATTTAGGGCGTTCGAGAGCACACTGGCAAGTTAAACGCGTCTGGGTCCAGGGAGGCGAAGAGGAACTGCCCGTTGGCTCGCAGCTCCTGGAAACATTGCGTTGAAGGAGACCTAAAACCTAAACCCTAAACCCCTAAACCCTAAACCCCTAAACCCTTAAACCCCTAAACCCCTAAACCCCTAAAGCCCTAAACCCCCAAAACCCCTAAACCCCTAAACCTCTACCCCTGAACCGCTAAACCCCGAAACCCTAAACCCTAAACCCAAAACAGGGCATGTGGGTTGAGGCGCCCCAGAATTGAGAGAGAGTACCCGGCAGTACCCCGGGTAGGTAGTCCTTGCAAACTTATCCGGGGCTTCCGAACATGAGGGCAACCCTCCCCCCCCCCCCCCCCCCCCCCGCTTCAGGGTTCCACCTTCAAAGAGGATCGTAGTATGTTGTGGGATAATGTAACCCAAACACATAAAAAACAAAACAAGTGCAAATATAAATATGTATGTATATATGCATATCTATCTACCCCTAAACCCTGAAACCTAAACCCTAAAACCCAAAACCCTGTTCTGGGTTGCAAGTATGGTCTGGCGAGCTTTCACAGGGACTACCACCCTGAAAAACAAGTAATAGCAATAGCAATAGTGACCAAGCATTGTGGTCACCAACCCTCAACCCTATAGGTTTTATATTCACAATTTATACGTATTTCATTTGCTGCGAGGGGTCTTTGCTCAAGTTCTGCTGGCTTTGTAGGATTGATGGTTTAGGGTTCAGGGTTTAAGGCTTACTGCGCTTGCCATGATCTGTGATGAGGTGCAACTCATGGTTCGGGTTCCCGCCGCCGTTGCTCATGGCCTGGTTCGGGGTTTAGGGTCTAGGGTTCAAGTCAGGGTTTTGGGTCTAAAGCTTAGGGTTGTAAAGGTTTTGTAGGAGTCGGGTTGCAAGTTTCTACAAGCGGAGCCTGACGGCAGTCTGCCCCCAAAACCACCCCGCGACCCCCCTCTATACTACCCCCCCCTAGGTTCCCTCCTTGAATAACATAGGCTGAATATCCCCAAATAGCATGAAGACAGCCTTGAGCACGCGCTGGCGGAACGTTGCCAATGCGGCCACGCCGTCTGAGTCCTTGAGCTGTCTGCTTATTCTGCCCTCAACCCCAAACCCTACTTGGAGGTTCATGGTACTTATTGGTACTTATTGTCCAGTTGCAACTGTACTTATAAGTGTCTGCTTTTACCCTCAGCCTCAACCCCAAACCCTACAAGTTTAGTAGGTCGTCTAAGCCAAAATTTAAAGTCTAAAGCCCTAAGTCCCAAAGCCGAAACCCTGCATGTCGAGTAAGCAAGCTTAAGGCTCAAAAGGATGTTTGTCTTTTGTAAAGTTTCCGAGGGGCCCAAGACATAGGGAGTCTTACTTTCTGGAACCTGCACGGGTCAGGGCAGCGAGGGTTTGCGTTGCGGGCTTCGGAGGTTAGGGTCAGATATGCAGCGGCTCAAGCCCACCCCGAAACCATAAACCCCTAAACCCTAAACCCTAAAACCCTAAAACCCTAAACCCTAAACCCTAGACCCCTTCATTTCCAGAAGCCTGGCCATGTCGGAGCACCACCACTGCAAGACCTGCTCGTAGCGCGCGAGGGCCCTGAATCCCAAGCCCTGGACGGTCTTCGGATCTGACCCTAGATCCTAAACCCTTTAGGGTTTAGGGTTTAGGGTTTAGGGTTTAGGGTTTAGGGTTTAGGGTTTAGGGTTTAGGGGAAGGGAGTTCAGGATTGTGGGTTTCAGCAGGGGAAAACACATGAGTCCATCATGAATCCCTGCTTGCAGAACTTCCAAGAGTCCCCGGGACGAAGCCTCCAGGGTTTTAGGGTTCAGGGCTTTAACATGTAGAATCCGACTTTGCAGCAGCAATACACTTGGTAGCCCGGTAACAGTATTATAATAATAAACGGCGCCCATTTACCCTATAAGGGAACCCAGAACCCCAAGAAAGGGGCGAAGGGCCCAACTGGGCTACCAAGTACATCACATGGGTCCCCTTTCTTGGATCTATCACAGTTAGCTTCGAACGGAGGGTGGCAAAAGGGGCCATGACTTGGGCCAACGCCGTCCGAGGGTTCCCTGATTCCCTATTCAGAACTAGCATGTAACATGAGGGTATGTGACCCTTATGCACCGCAAATTGCTGCGATCCTCATTCTACTTTAGGAACCAGCTCATATGCAATAGCTAAGTGCCTTAACTCTGCACCCTTTTTGCTTTAAAGGGGCTTCTCAGGGAACCCTTAACCCTACAAAAAGGGAATAGGGGCCTACTCTGGGTCCGAGTCTCTGCCCTAAACCCTAAACCCTAAATGCAAAAAGACAACGAATACGAGCAGAAAGAGAACGAATACGAGCAGAATGAATAACATGAGGTTGGGGGACAGGGCTTGCTGATGAAAATAAAATCTCTGGGTGGGTGGGTTTGTTTCGAGACTCGAAACAGCGGCTCTACTAGCGATTGCTCGACCCGGAGCTGCTGAACCCTAAACCCAAAACCCAAAACCCAAAACCCTAAACCCAAAACCCAAAACCCAAAACCCAAAACCTTAAACCCTAAACCCTAAACCCAAAACCCAAAACCCAAAACCCTAAACCTTAAACCCTAAACCCTAAACCCTGCACACAACCCTGCCTGATCGCAGAAGCTCCTCGCAATTCTGGGAGTCTAGCAGCGGCACCGGCGGCCAGGCATCTGGGCAGAGTCGAAGCCTAACCCTAAACCCTGAACCCCAAACTCCAAAGCCTAAACTACCCTAAACCCTAAACCTCAAACCTTTCTAACCACTCACTATCGATGGCAAACCGTGCAAAACCACTTCAAGAGGCATAGCGATCTGACTTGCTTGCTCCGAAAGACAGAACCCCCCAAAGTGTGGGGAACGATGGGTTTCGGGTTTCGGGTTTAGGGTTTAGGGTAGTTTCGGGTAGTTTAGGGTAGTTTAGGGCTTAGGGTTTAGGGTATGGGGGTAACGATGCTTCCCTGACCCCACGGTTCTGATGTACCTGTAAAGGAATTCGGGGGCCTTCGGATGGGCCTCAAGTTGAGGGCTTCGTAAGCCTCCTTTGGAACCACACCCACCCGCACCAAAACCCTAAAACCCTAAAACCCTAAAACCCTAAAACCCTAAAACCCTAAAAGCCCTGAAAACCCTAAAACCCTAGTTAAACCCTAATTCAACCCAAATTAAACCCTAATTAAACCCTAACTAAACCCTAAAACCCTAAAACCCTATAACCCCATAACCCTATAACCCTCTAAACCCTCTACCCCTATAACCCCATAACCCCAAACCTTAAACCCGAGTGTCGAGCTTCAGGAGCTTTAGGATTCCTGCGTGCGTCCGGGCAGCTTATGTCGATCCAGTTCTGCATCACTTCCTCTTGGGGCGGCAGCAGGCCCTAAACCCTGAAACCCTAAACCCTAAACCCTAAACCCTAAACCCCTAAACCCCTAAACCCTATAAGCCCCAAGCCACAGACATCCTGGCTTTGCGGGGTATCAGCAAATGGTTGCCCGAAGAGTCTTGGTGGCCCAGGAGCAATATCAAGTAAGGGCAGCCATTTTTGTCGGTTGCTTTGTAAGCGAACCCAGAAACCCCCCCCCCCCCCCCCCAAAAAAAAAAAAAAAAGTAAAGGGTACCGCTGGGCTACCAAGATGTCCCCCCCCCCACGAATGGATATGCAAAGTGCACTGTGCCCAGGTTGCTGAGGTTGTTTGTTTTTTCAGCCGGCGTGTGGCAGCAGATGGGGTGGTTTCTTTACTCATGGGCAACCCTATCTAAGCCTCAAACCCCAAACCGAAAAACCCGAAACCCTAAACCGAAAAACCCAAAACCCAAAACCCTAAACCCTAAACCCAAAACCCTAAAGCCCTAAACCCAAACCCCTGAACTTGTGGAGTGCCTCATCATGTCATAGGGGCCTGAAAAAAAGTGGTCTCTTCTGAGACAAGCCGAAGCACTCCATTCTTAGGGTAGCTACGTCGTCCCTTATAGAATGTTAAAAGGGTTTAGGGTTTAGGGTTTAGGGTTTAGGGTTGCAAATTAAGGGCCCATACGTGAGAACCCTTTCATTGAGGTTTGGAACCAGTTTTTGGGCCCATACAACTACTCTTAGATACGTCCCAACCCCGAGGCCCTAGGGTCTGGGAGTTTGCGGGTTCAACAGGCACGGGGTTTAGGGTTCGGCGAGGGTTTATTTGGGGCATCATAGGGTTTAGGGCTTCGTGATGGGGTTTAAGGTTCTTCTGCGTGCAGGGTCTAGGGTTGAAAGGGAAAATATGCCTTAAGCCATACAAGGGAACTGCATATGAAGTAGGGTATATATTTCTTGTACCCCCACAAGGACACCAAATATATACACTCACCAAAATTGCAAAGGAACCTTATATACACTTACCAATAACAGAAATATAAACCCCGGTGTCAATATGATCCTAGAAGCCACCAGAACCATCGAACCTAATTGGGTTCAGCGTTTTCAGGTTACAAGAGAAACACCAAACCCCAAACCCCTAAAGCGCCCAAACCTTCAACCCTTCAACACTGCCTGAACCGGGGTTTAAGGCTTTGGGTTGAGGTTTGGCAGGGTTTTTAGGGCTTTCGGGCTTAACGCCTACACCCTCAACCCTAACCCTCAACCCTCAACCCTAAACCTCCGAGCCCAAGTCCCCCCCCCCCCCCCCTTTCCGAGTGTCCTTGTCACGCACCCAATGGAAGGGGAGGGCATCCAGACCAAGGTCCTGTGGTTTAGGTTGGATTTGAGCTGGTCTGGGGCTCAGGGCTTAGGGCTCAGGGTTTTGGGGTTGAGGGTGGGGGGTTTTAAAGGGGTTTGGGGTTTTGGGTGTAGTGTAGGGCTTCGAGCTTAGGGTGAGTTTAGAAGGGTTTTGGGGGGGTAAGAAGTTCAGGGGAGGCATCCTTCAAGGGATTTTACACTGGACCCCTAAGGCTTGTACCCTTGGGTTTGGGGACCCCCCCTTAAGGGAATATAAGGGCCAGATTAGGAGTACATACACAAAGGGAACCTCATTAGGGGCACATTCTTCGGGGTCCAAGTAGGACTCCCTTGACTCTTCTAAGCCCTGAACCCTTCTAGGCGCTCAAGCCCTTCATGTGTTGAAAGCCCTAAAGCCCCCCCAGGCCCAACAGCCCTGAAACCCTAAAAAGCCTAAAACCCCTAAAAGCCCTGAAAGCCCTAGTATCCCTAAAGCCCTCTAAAACCCTAAACCCACAGCGGGCTCGAAGGAAACAAGAGCTAAGCCGAGCATTTTTGGCTTGCAGCCAGCTCAGAAACCTTCAAGCCGAATCACACCTAGCTGGGGTTAGGGGTTTGAGTAGTATAGGGGCTATATGAGGTGCATAGGGTAGCTTCTCCACGGACTTCCAGCACAGACTCTAGCAGCAACGGAATCAGATCGCAAAGTACCATATATATATATATATATATATATATATTATGAAAAAAACCTCAGCCAGCGCAACGGGGAGTTCTTTGGGCGCCGCCTCGTGCCCAGACATGTGGACGGAGGGCGGCTTTCCCGGCAGGAAATCCCAGACGCCTCCACCACTGGCTTCGGGAGGCATTGAGAATCTTCAAAACAGCGGGCGTTTTAGGATTTGGAGCGGGAGAGGACTTATAAACTAAACAGGGTGTACTGTCATAGAGACAAAAGGGCCCTACTTCGGTGGGGTTAGGTGGAGGTAGCCGGCGGCTTTCTTTGGGGCCCTTTTGTGTGACACGGACAAGGAAACAAGGAGATCGGAGACCCGAAACTCTAAACCCTAACCCCTTAAACCCGAAACCCCAAAGCACCCCCCAGCACACCCAGATCCGACAGGCCCGTGGGTTCAGGAATGCCCGTGTAAACTCCAAGAAGGCTTGCCTCAGCCCTACACCCTGAACCCTAGACCCTAGACCCTAATCCCTAAACCCGAAACCCTAAACCCTAAGCCCGAAGACCTAAGCCCTAAACCCTAAGCCCTCCAAAACGGCCTTGTGAATGCACGGCCAGGTAAAAGTTGAGCCGCTCGATGCTGTCTATGGCAAGCTCCTCAAAGTGCAGCGCTACTCTTAGGATAGTGTATAGGTTTTATATGGGGTTTGTAGGGCCCTTAGCATGGTCCCAGTTGAACTTGCTCTGCTAGACTTGAGCCAAGCACCAGGCCAGGGAAAAACCACGTGTGGGAGAAAAACCCTGGGCCTCCGGAACGCGGCTGCCCTGCAAACCCTACACCAACCCCGACAAGAAGCCGACAAGCAGCCCCGAAACCACAACCCTGGAACAGACCGAAAGAGACCGATGCAGCCCCCCCCTCCCAACCCCCAAAAACCAACCCCCAAAAAGGCAAACCCCCCGAAGAGATGAAAACAACGACCGTGTACTGCTCGTACCTTCGGGTTGCTCAGCTGGGACATTTGCGTCCTGCTGTATACGATATCCGGAGTGACTCTTCTGCGAAGGAAGTCTCGCTTGTTGCTAGCTTCGATGTACTGCATAAGAATCGCATTCGTCGTGGCTTTCGCCGCGGCGAAGACACCAGGATCTCCTTTCTTGCTCCCGTACTTGTAACCCAAGCTCGGGCAAGTGTTGGATTCCCACTCCAGTAGGTCCAGCTCTGATGTTGTATCAAAGGCCTCCGTTCCGCGAAGAGGCTTCAAGCCATCTCTGGCCAATGCCACCGCCTGGGCATCCTCAGGTGGTTCGGCCTTGCGGCCGATGGACTCGTCCTTTGAACAAATCCTCCATCCATCCACTCGGTCCCTTAGTATGGGCCCTAGGGCACCCCTTCAATACCCCTTAATATTGTAGGGATCAGGAACCCAAACCCAAAGTAAGTCCTTCCATGAAGCTTAGACCTAGAAGCCTACAACCCCCCACAAATCTCTACACCGATTCAGGGTTTAGGGCTTAGGACAGAAAAAGACCACACTTCCAAATGCATCGGACTCACTTGGGTTCCGGCAATCTGCCTAAACCCCTAGAGCCTCTAAACTCTCCCCCCCCAAAAAAAAACAAAACCCTCAAACCCTAAACACAAAAAACAAAAACGAACAAAACCTCAAACAACCCTTAAAAAACCAAAAAGCTCCCAACTGCCGAAAGAAACTTGCAACGAACCCGAAAAAAGACCCTCAACCGCGCCATACCCCTAAACCCTAAGCCCTAAGCCCTAGGCCCTAAGCCCTAAGCCCTAACCCTAAACCCTAAACCCTAAACCCTAAACCCTAAGCCCTAAACCCTAAACCCAAAACCCAAAACCCTAAACCCTAAACCCTAAACATTGCCACTCCGGGAGTCCTCCCAGAGCCGCACGGACTCCTGTTCCGCGGACTCCGAGAGGAGCAGCAAGAAGCTCGGGACCCTCCAGGAGGGGGTTTTCTTGGACTGAAAGACAGGGTTTCGGGTTCAGGGTTTAGGGTTTAGGGTTTAGGGTTTAGGGTTTAGGGTTTAGGGTTTAGGGTTTAGGGTTTAGGGTTGAAAGAGCAGCCCAGAAGCCTCCTTATGAAGCCCCCACTCAAAGCCCCCAACTTGCCGCTACATCGCATAGTTTTTTTGGGTTCAGGGTTCAGGGTTCAGGGTTCAGGGTTTAGGGTTTAGGGCTTAGGGTGGGGCTCACCAAGTGCCTGGGACGGTTCGTGGATGCTTCGGGGAACTTCGGCCGCCCACGCAACCTCGAGCCTTCAAGTAATCCCCACCTAACACTCGCTTGCCCCCCTTCCCAACCCTCAAGCCCGAGTACGCTTGGGGAAGCAGGCACCTAGGGAGCCACACAGATTACAAACTAGAGACCCCCCCCCTACGTTCAATATTCTTGTTGTTCTTCTTATTGTTACTATGTGTTTAAGTCTAGTGTTGCTATGAAGACTTTGTTGTTATTGTTGCTATTCTTGTCATTGTATAACATCATTGTACTATTGTATTACTAACTGTCTATATATATACATATTGATACATTTTAGATATTCTCATACTGTCATCCTCCAAAGCCATGAGACAAAAACCTCTGCTCAGCGAGAGGCCCAACAGCCCAGGGTGTGGGGTTTAGGGATTAAGGTTTAGGGGTTTAGGGGTTGGGGCTTCAATCCTCAAACCTCAGCCCTAATCCCCAACAAGTCCCCCTAAACCCGAGAAGCCCCAAACCACCCAACCCTTTGCGCCCTACCAGCTACACCCCTAAACCCGGAAACCCCCTAAATCCCCTAAACTCCTAAACCCTAAACCCTAGCCCCTAAGCCTCCCCCCGCCCCCAAACACTTCACAACTGCAACCTCTGGAACTTGGTGTTCTTCCAGTGCCTTCGAGAGCTGAACAAAGATTGGGGCTTCAGGCTTTTGGGTTTAGGTTGAAATGTATACAAGTATGCATATATATATATATATATTTGTTTATATATATATATATATATTAGAACACACATCTTTACGTGGGGAGGGGGGGGTTGTGTAGTAATGTGGGCACGCTCGCAAGAATGAGCCCTAAACCCTCAACCCCCAACCAGCCCTAAGCCCTAACCCATCAAACCTCAAGACTCAACCACTAGGCCTTTCGGCCCAAGCCCTAAACCCTAAACCCGAAATCCTAAACCCTAAACCCTAAACCCTAAACCCTAAACCCTAAACCCTAAACCCTAAACCCTAACCCGCAACAAGTCCAAGGTGCTCGGGCGATTCTAGGAGGAAGAAGGACGGGCGTGCGAGCCGTGTCATCCACCAGGCGATCCTGAGAGTTTAGGGTTTAGGGTTTAGGGTTTAGGGCTTAGGGTTTAGGGTTTAAGGTTAGGGTTTAGGAGTTGTAGGGCTTGGGGGATGTACATCGAATTGTCTTGCTCACGGCTTCGTCTAGCTGTCTGCGGGACTTCTGTTCGTGTCCAGCAAAGATTCAGAGTGTAGGCGAAGACAACCCTAAACCCTAAACCCTACACCCCCCCCCCCCCCTCCCTGAAAGCCCTAAACCAAGCAGAAGGTACGGCCAGCGGGGGGGGTCCTTCAATCAGGATGAGAGTATTTGAGGTTAGCGCTAAAGGGTAGTCCTATTGTTGGGACGTACTTCAAGGGGTCCATAGTCTAGAGCTCTACATGACCCAGAGGGTCCATTTGTAGTACCTTTATGGAAATAGCTACCCCCCAAACCCTATGTAGCATGATTTTGGGCATACCTAATTCCACATGGACCCTCTGGGTGACATCATGAAAGGCCGTCTTCGGACGTGAGGTGAGCGACAATTGGGCGTAGGGCGTAGGGCGTAGGGCGTAAGGCTTAGGGATTAGGGTTTAGGGTTTGGGGTTTGGGGGTTTAGGGTTTGGGGTTTAGAGTATAGGGTTTAGGGTTAAACGGCTTAGGGTCAGGGTCCTTTTCTTTTGATGGGGGGGGGGGGGCATTACTTGTTGTACGAAAACTGATAGGGTCCCAGAGCTCCCTACACCTACCCCAAGTCCTATAAACCCCATCCCGCAACCCTAAACCTACAAATCCCACAATTCTCCCAAAACCCCCCCAAAGAAGGCCCCGAACCAGACACCCTGAACCCCAACCCCAAACCCCAAAACCCTAAACCCTAAACCCCAAACCCTAAACCCTAAACTCTAAACTCTACCCCCCCCCCCCGCCCAAACCCATTTTCAAGTTGCGGCTTGCAGCCCGAGAGTCACCTCGGGTTCCCGTGGCCTAAGGGACAGCAAGAAAGAAGGCTTTGCGTGTTAATGCGGGAGTTTGGGTTTAGGGTTTAGGGTTTAGGGTTTAGGGCTTAGGGCTTAGGGCTTAGGGCTTGGGGCTTAGGGCTTAGGGTTTAGGGTTTAGGATTTAGGGCGTTTTAACTCGGGAGTTTGGGGTGGCCTGTAAGGTCTTAGCGTGGTTGCGGTTTAGGGTTTCAGAATTTTTGGGGTGTGGAGTGGGCAACTTTGGGCTTAGGATGGTCCAATCTGTCAGCTCTGGGGCGAGGATGCGGGCATTGAGGATGTGAAGGGTTTAGTGCTTAGGGTTAGGGTTTAGGGCTTAGGGTTTAGGGTTTAGGGATTAGGGGTTTAGCCTAGCGTTTTCGGAGTTCAGCAGCAGTTGGCACATGTAGGAATAGGACTGACACACGGCCATGTGGTTTAGGGATTGCTAGTTTAGACCCCCTGAAGAGAAGCCTATGCGGAAGCAAAAGTAGAGACGACTCTCCCCGACCCTAAGCCCCAAACCCTAAATCCGAAACCCGAAGCCCTAAACCCGAAACCCTACCCTAAACCCTAAACTCGAAACCCCCCCCCAGAAGCGTTAGAGGAAGGGCCGTAACGAAACCCCTCGCTCCCGTGTGGCGCCTGTTGAAGGTCATCACGCGCCCCTGGCGGAACCCCCGGATGGCCGGATAGGTGCTCTGCCTGGGAGGGGGGGGGGGGGGTAGGGGTTTGGAGCTTTGGGGTCTAGGGTCCCTAAACCCTAAACCCTAAACCCCAAACCCCAAACCTTAAACCCCAAAACCTAAACCCTAAACCACAAGAATTTCAAGCTCATCTCTTGGCTACAATACAACTCACA